GTGTGTGTGTGTGTGTGTCGGCAAATGAATTCTAACTTCTCTCCCTCCTCACATGGTTCTGGAAATGAAGAGGGCGAGGCAGAGGATGGAGAGAAGGAAGATGAGGAGGAAGGAGAAGAGGAGAGCCCGGCTCAGGAAGAGGAGGGCGCCGAGCAGAAGGAGGAAGAGGGTGATGACGAGGGTGAGAAGGGGGAGGAAGAAACTGAAAAACAAGAGGAGGAGTCTGAAGAGAAAGATGAAAAAACAACCGATAAAAAAGCTTAAATTCAAACGCTTAAAAAAAACGCCTGCTAGCATTGTAGCTGAAGGATGTCTTCTCTGGTGCTCTATAAGTACAGAGATTATTCTCTCATTCCTCTCGAAAGCAGAAGACAACATGCGGGTGAACAAATTCTCTGTATGATCAAGCGGAGCGGCTCACAGCATGTACGCACACTCCAAAGATACTAAAACACTGTAAAAGCTAATCAGTAAGTCATCGATGACTGTATGAAAGAGAAATTCTGCTTTGTGGAGATTTGTTTGCAAACACCTGTGTGCTTTATGTCACCAAAACATGCCTGAACACTATGTATGTGCAATACCAGTTTGAAATGCCTTACTTCAAGTCCTCACTGAGTGCTTTAAGTCCATGATGTGCTGCATTGAACTCCAATAAAGCCTTCTCAACCTAGAGCCGGCCCCAGGCTTTTCTGTTACACTTACAGGAGCAATGAGTTATCAAGTCAAACAACATTCAGCACAAACAAACACATTAGCAGAGAATCCTAGTCCACGTCCAGGCTCTGTGACTCACTTTCACAAGCAAGGATAGATAGTTGTACTTGCTAATTAGCACAGGCTCCATTTTCATTCAGGGTTTAAAACAAATGTTCTTTTCTCGCCAGAATGTTAATGGAGGTTAATGGAAACAGTACACAGATGGCAGCCAAAGAGCCCTCGGTACCATCCATATTGATAAATCGGTCCACAATCGACTGCAAGGGAGGGCTGCAGCAAACCAGCAAAGTCAGCAAGTCTGACTTGTTTTAGGTTCTCTCAGCAAATGCATGAAAAAAACAACGTATTCAACAAAAAAAAAATCACATATCAGACAGAACTAAGCCTCACATTTTCAACCTGATCTGCTAATAAAGCCTTATTACAGTTTTCTTGACGTGGGCTAAAAGTCTGGTATATCAGAAATGAGTTACAGCGGCATGTTTGTCTTTATCTCAAGTCAGCAGGTCGCCTCCATCCTGATGTGCTTACAGTCTCTGTGTGATCAGCCAGCTGACACCGGTGTTTTCCCCGCTGCCTCGCCCTCATCCACATCACTGTCCATAAATCAGGGCACACTGAAACGTTTATGACTCAGCTAGTCTGCTGCACCAAAGAATCTGGACAAGTGTCAACTCACGCAGGACGGCAACAGAGTGGGGAAGAGGGAGAGCAATTTCATTATTTCATTCAGAGGGGGGAGAGATTAAAGAGGAATCAGGGAGAGAGAGGAGGACTACCTCACTGCACTAAACCTTGACAGAGGACGGACTGTCTTTTTTTACCCAGCAAAGAGGTTGAGAGGCCAGGGGCATCCTCAAGGCGTCTGCAGAGATGCAATACCTATCACGCAAATGAACCCCATACACACACTCTCCATCCTCTCTCACACACACAGACATTTGAACAGGAGTGGATGTGCAGTGGGAGTTTCTGTTTGATCTATCTGAAGCACACTTTGAAATATTGCATCATTTTATAATTGTGACACACTGTTTGCACATGTGGTGCGTGCTCCAGAAGATCTTACGTGTGTCAGAGCAATGCCCCAGTCTCCCTCTCCGTCCGCCTTGTCCTTGGTTTACCCCGGCCATGAGCTAAACTACCCCATCCTCCTCCTTCTGTTGCTCTCAGTCCAAAAGAGCACTCAATTTAATCATTAGAAATTCCACTTTGCAATGAATTTGGCTTCGCTTACACACACCTTTCAGCACTCAAAGAGATAGCAATACTGTTAATGTTTTCATATTGATTCCGAGTACAATAATGATATACTGGCTGGATTTTAATACTCAGACCACCCTGTAGACAGAATGCTGAAGTAGAGCTCTTCACAATAGTAACAGTGAACCACCAGCAGCATATACCGATACTCCCTCAGGTGATCATATGTATCATTTGTGTCGCAAAGCGAGGGGAGGCTGTGTGTGTGTGTGTGT